AGCTTCGTTCGTTGATTTTTATGAAGATGAATGTATGCTACACTCCCAAATATTCATGGTGGTAGCATTAAGATAAAAGGCAATATTACATGGCTAGCAAGGGTTTGAAGTAGTGTTTTAAGGTTCAAGGTTTGAGATGGCATCCGATTCATCAAGTAAACAACATTAATAACCGCATCTCGTCCGAGTAGCGACGTGGTGTATGTCTTGCTGTGAGGAGGGCTCGAGCTATTTTAAGGATGTGCATGTGTGTTCTCTCGGTAACACCATTTTGTTGTGGTGTTTGAGAGCGAGAAAGTCTCATGAAATAAACCATGTGCTTGGAAATACTCGATAGTGCATTATTTTCATATTCCCTATCGTTATCAATTTGTAGAATTTGGAGTTTGGTCAAAAATTGGATCTTGATCATATTATGAAATGAACGAAATATTCCAAACACCCCATTCTTATTTTTCATCAAATACGACCAAGATATACGTGTGCGGTCATCTACAAATAACACAAACTATCTAATGCCCGAGGAAATTGCAATAGAAATTGGACCCCAAACATCCGAATGAATTAGCATAAATGGAATCTCATATTTCTTCAAACTTATTGGATAAGGTACACGATGACTTTTGGCTAGAATACACGTTATGCATTTAAACAATGATTCATGTAAGTTGAAAAAAAACTTAGAAATAAGTGCTTTAAGTATGAGAAAGATGGATGTCCTAGTCGACGATGCCATAGCCAAATTTGTCTTTCTTTCTCACTAATCTGTCGGATATTATTTGCTCGACTAGTGCTGATATCATCCAGGTAATACAACCCTTCCCTTTTAATACCATGACCAATAATCTCCTTCGTGAGAATATTGTGAAATAAATAGAAACTAGGATACATTAGTGCACAACAATTCGGTTCTCGAGTAACTTGTCTAACCGATATTAGTTTGCTTGAAAGAGATGGCACTAATAGGGTATGAGGCGATGAAAAAGAAGATGAAAAAGCCACTCTTCTAGCCCTTGTAAGTGGGTAAGTTACTCCATTAGCATTGGCAATATGCGTCCGTTTTGGTCGAGTATTTTCGATCAAATCTTATGGGTCGAAGGTCATGTGGTTTGTTGCTCCCGAATCAATTATCCACACGTTGTTACTCGAACTGTTAAGGGCCATATATTTGTTTGTTGCAGCAAACGATGACTTCCTTTGTGATATGAGGGATAGGTGATGTTCGGTGTTTTCTACCACGAGAGAGAGACTTTCGATTTTCATGAATGCGACTCGACCAGGAGTTGCATCCGTACGCACCGCCCTCGCTTCATGTTTCTTTTTTCCCTTATGTTCTTGCCACCACTCTGGATATCCATGCAATTTAAAGCATGTATCCTTGGTATATTTCATATTTCCACAAGTGCGTACAACCTTCACCTCCTATTGTGGATCGCTATTTTTGTGGCATGTTAAAATTTCCACTCGGATGATAATTGAAGTGAAGGTTGCTGTGATCGTTGTCCTCTTTTTGAGATCATAGCCGCACTGTGTATGACTTCTCCATTTGTCAACATCACTCGCTTGTCGGAGATCTTACCTACGAACATGTGTATAGGCTTGTTCCACGGTAGGGAATGGTATAATTCGAAGCACATCTCCTCAAATTTTGTCCACCCGATCATCTAATCCATCCAAGAACGTATACACTCTATCTTCCCGCACCATGGAGTTATACCTCTCGTATGTCGGTTGCACGACTCATAGGATTTAGACGACGAAAGTCTATTTCCCTCCATAAACCTTGAACATTATCGTAGTATGTTTCAATGGCCCTTCCGTTTTGCATTAGCCTTGTCACCTTCCTTTTCAAATCATAAACCTATGAGATGTTAGTTCCATCAAAGTATGTCATGGAAATGGCGTCTCATACCTCTTTTGTTGTTGAGTATCCGATATAGTTACTAATCAACTTAGGGTCCATAAAGTTGATTAGCCATCCCTTCACTATTGCATTTTCTCGTTCTCTATCTTCCGAAATTTTTGATCCGTTTCTTCTAGTTGTGGCAAATCTCCATTAATGTATCCCAACTTGTCCTTGCCGGAGATGTACATCTCCACAACTTAGGACCAAAGGCCATAATTGGTGTCTCCAACTTAATACTAATTGGTGCGACGAATCGTGTCGTGGTTTGCTGCAATTTGTGTCCGTTTTAACATCCGAGACATTTTGGATGTTAGGTCAACAAGGATTGAGTTCCCTCCTTGAGTATTTGTCGTGAGAGTTTGATCTCCCATAGCTTTCGGTTCTGTGTTTTTTTCTTGTAATTCTACGAGTCCTAAGGTCTATGCTTTAATACCATGTCGAACTCATGTTTTTCAATATAATTTTTCAATGTTCGTACGTAAAGAAGCCATGCTTATATAGGCAGTATAGAGTCCTATTCTAGAAAGTAAAAGATATACATTATATAGTTCTATTCTAGGAAGTAAAAGATATCCATCGGGTTTGACATATGCTCGCAAATAAAACTCTAGAAAATCTCCTCACTTATCAAGGAATAACGACTCATGCCAAAAATTAAGAGGTTCTTTCGAACATTAATTAAATTATTTCATTTAAAAATACAAATTTAAAAACATGAAAAAAATAAATAACAAATAATTAATTTTATGCGTGCGGATATAATTAATATCTAACAAAACTCTCTCTATATATATACGTATATCATACTTTATAGTTTTAGAGCATATACAATAAATAAATAAATATATAAAAAACCCCACCTAAATCACATGGAATATATCGAAGTAAATATATTTAAATAAAAACTATTATATAAAATTAGTTTCGATAAATTTTGATTATATATATAACCAAATAAAACCTATGAATTTTTTAACTAATTTTTTTTTAAAAAAATTGAGTCGAGTATATAAATAAATAAAAAATAATTGATGTTATATGTGTAGATATAATTAATTTTTAACACACACACACACTCTCTCTCTCTCTCTCTCTCTCTCTCTCTCTCTATATATATATATATATATATATATATATATATATATCGTACTTAGAAACTCAAAGTATATAAAATAAATAAATAAATATATTAAAAAAACCCACTTAAATTGCATGGAATATATCAAAGTTAATAGATTTAAATCAAAACTACTATAAAATTAGTTTTGATAAATTTTGATTATATATATATAAACCCAAATAAAACATGTGAATTTTTTTAACTAATTATTAATTTTTTAAAAAAACTAAGCCAAATTATTTTTTTAACCGATTATTATTTTTCAAATTATCTAAAACAAACTTTTAGTTCTCTCTCTCACATCATAATTTATATATGTAACAATGCCATTTTCATTAAAAAATCATAAAAATAATCAATCGTATAAATTATAATAATATATTTTAAAAAATAAGACAATCATGTTCTAAAATTTTATTTCAAAAGGCATATATAAAAAAATCAAATTTATTAACAAATAAAATTATATAAAATTTAAAATTAATTTGATGAGAATTTTAATAAGAAACAAACAACTGAAGAAATAAATTTTAAATAATAAAAATAATATAATCGGATATATATGTTCAAACAAAAATTTTAAAATATATATATATATATATATTACTTATCAAACTGTATGTTAAAAAAAAAGATCTTTTTTTTTTGTATTTTTACACCTAATTTTATGATAAAAAAATCAAAAAATAAATTATTTATATAGAAGGGGAACAATTACCACATGAGAACATATAGAAACTAAAAAAGAAAAAAAGGAAAAAAAAAGAGGAATGGTACAGTGAAGTTCCAGCAACCCAACCCTTTAAAAAAAAAAAAAATTACTTCTACGGTGAAGGAAAGAACGAGTAGCCCAACCCTTAAAAAAAAAAAAAAAAAAAAGAGGAAGCCTGCAGTGAAAAAAAAAAAAAAAGCACTGCTACAATAAATTGAAGTGAACTGTGCCACTCTCGGTTCTTTTAGGTTTTTTTTTTTTACCAATCCTTTTTTACCTTATTTTATGCGATTTTTAGAAGATATTTATATTGAAATTGAGCCATGTGAAATAAATGATTTATCACATTAAAATTGATATGATATTTATTTTCGTCTATTTTCTTTTTCGTAGGTAAATTAAAATAGTGGTAATATGGTAATTAGCCTTTATGGCATTAGCTACTAGAAATCTTATAATAAGTTTATGTGCTTTGAAGATTTTCCACAAAAAAATTACTTAAATTATTGCATAAAATGGCTTGAGTATATCGCCCAATAAAAATAATTATATTAACATTTTTTTTTTGGGTGGTGCTATTCCCAATTCATAAAATTAATATACTAACCAAATTGACTTTCTTTGGGAGTCATGTTCTTCACAACTTTTCATTTTATGATCAGTTTAAGTTTTCTGATACATGGTAATCAATCTTTTACATCTTGTTTGCTTTTTGTGAGTTTGATCTCACAAGGGGAATGAGGCACATGTACCAGCAAATATACATATCAGAAAATTTCATATCTCATGTAACTCTTTGCTTCAGGTAGAATCGAAGCAACACAAATGAAATATCCAATTTTTTCCGCAGACCAGTGAGGAGAAGAGGCTGGCGAGACAGCTAGCCCACAGTTGTTGACTCCCGAAGCCTGGGATTTATGGTGCTTAAAATTCAGGACATTCAAGAACTATTTTATTGAATGCATCATCGCATGCCTTTCCCATTAGCCTCAAGTTTTTTTTACAACATCAAAAGCCACCTAATGCCATTAGTTTGTAATGTCAGTTTAACTTGGGATCTTACGTAGTATGAGACATCATGACCTAATGCCATTAGTTTGTAATGTCCATGATGGTTGTAACTACAAAGTAGTATGATATAAAACCCACAACTGGGTTTTCTTTCTCTTTGTTATTAGAAGTTCATTTTGGCTTTAAAAACCACACAGTATCTCTTGCCAGATATGCAAGTTTCAAGCAAAATCAAACAATGGTCTTAATTACTATCTTCTTAAACTATTTAACCATGATAGAATAGCCCTAGCACCTTTTTCCCACGAACAATCTAGCATCATGTCATGGGCAACCCCTTCAACACAGATTGGTGATACGTCGTAAAACCTGCCAGTTTCATTGAGTCCTTCGGCATCCTAACAATTTTGTTAAGCAATAAACAAGAAACTTACTTAGAAACATAACATTTTTATATAATAATATAGGTCCAGACTACAAACAAATTGAAAATTGCAATGATAACTGGGAAAAGGCAATTCTATTGTTCTCCTGGGTTCAAGCTGCAAGTTTTTTCGGTAAATAAGGTAAATTGTCTAGAATGGCTGGGATATTCCTACTAAACTGATAAAATGACAGCATAGGGAAATCTCCAGCATTGAAATTGAAGCAGAAATTACTCTGCCAGAAAGGAGGATCACTGTTCAAAGAGTTCAATATGATAATGAGAACAGACAGATATTCATGCATGAAAGACAAAGTTAGGTCACAAAACTGCATGCTTTGCCAAAGATACAGAATATTTGGGAACTGATCATAAGATGCTAGAGGACAAAAATGTAAACTGGGCTCGAGGGAGGAGGACTGCCATTGAGCATAACAAGGTGATGGTGATTTTGATCTTGAGTCTTGAGTTCTTTCTATTAAGTATAATACGGATGACCCTTATCAAGAAAGGTCCTTGATGGTACCTTACCATTTAAGAGCACTCATGTCTTGGGTCAAGCATCACAAGGAACGGTCCTACTAAGAAATTCAGAGTAAACACAAACACAAACATCACAACTGACACTGCTAAGGATGGGCTCCTGCTTTGAATATAGAATAAATGAGTGTGATACATGCCATGATCTGATAAGAAAAGAGAACCAATTAAGACCAGCAGCAATAGCTGGAATTTTTATTTTATTTTATATTTTTTTCTTTGAATCCTAGAGGGTCTGAAAGAGTCAGCAACACCAAAATGGTTGAACCAGAGTTCTTGAGATTGGATTCATGCCATGTATATCTTTTCATCATGTAGACAACATACCCTGCCCTATCACATACCAAGGAAAAAGAATCTCTACCAAGGTTCTTTCCAAGGCTAACCTTTTGTAGGGGTAAAGGAAAAACACAAACTCCCCGTAATGACAAAATGATAAGGACTCCAATGATTTCAACATATTAGATCTGAATACTTGAATGAAAATATGAATTGCATGAGTTATACATGAATTTACCACTATGAAATCATCACTTGCGCCCAGCACAAGGACTTCGATAGACGATTTTGGCACTGACGGAACTGGAAGTGATGAATTAAGCTTTCTTAGATCAAACAATGGAATTCTTGAGCTTTCTTTCATTAGTTCTTGGTAACTGAAAGAAACAAGAATGAGTCAAACTTTAATGGTCAACTAAAGAAACCTTGAAATGACTGCACTTTTAAGGATGTAACTATAAATGTGAGAGAACAAATTTTCTCAGCTTGGCACGGCTAAGAAAAAAATAAAAACTACCCAGCAATTCTTTTGTTCGAAAGATGATTTTAACTGCTTCATGCTGATTGGAAATATTTAATATTAATATAATAGATTAATCAAATACAAAGTATGAAATCAAAAACCACAAAGCTAAAGCATTGCCTTTGATGGGCAAGTTTGAAATTGCACGAGAAATTTCCATTATAAGCTCACCTAAAAATGCATAACTTTTAAATATAGTCATGATTTGGCACATTTTCATTGGCAATTCAGTGTTTAAACTAAGGATTTTATGGATGAATTTTGAGTTTGTGCAGTTTGCCAACCACTGAGGTAAGTATACTGATTGACAGTCTTGAGCACCCTGAAAGGATGTCCAAGAGGAAGTCATACCTATTAAATGCTTCCCTAAGGACTATTGGTGTGAATCACACTAACACAATTGATTGATATATGCACATTTCTAACAGTGATATCAATAAGCTATGCAAAATATCATTTGATTCATTTCCTTTATGGTCAACACCTTTTTAAATCAGTGAGTTGGAAGTTTTAAAAAGGAAAAAGAAATTCCTGACATAAAGTAGGCTTCCAGCTCTAGTTAGGTTGTGCACAAAGTAATTTGAATACAAAGTAACTTAATTTCAGGTCTGATACAATATCTTGAACTGCAGGTTCCTTTTTGTTAAGTCAACATGTGCTTAAATCAACAAAACCATGGACAAATGAAAACACATAAATATTGCCGTTGATTGTCCATTTTCATTTAGAACAACATGAAGAGTAAACTAGGTTTTAAGAATCTGGAGAAGAGCTATATCAACTAACCGTCTCACTAGATGATCCTCCATCATTGATATGAAAAATGTTTCCTTACAGAGTGAAAGATCAGTTTGAAAAGCTTTAGCCGCCAAGCTGCGTGTCACCTGCTCATGGGTTCAAATAAACATACCTATTATTTGAAGAGACTTATTTGATCAGCCAATCTTACTATCTGGGTTTAAAAAATAAAGATAAGAATTCTGATGTCATGTTCTAGATAAAGTGTAGATTGTAAAAAGGTAACGTATCCAGTTTTTCTATATCCAGGTTCCAAGAAGAGGGAATAAAGATTAAAGATGCATACTAATCTTCTCTCTCAAAATCTCAAAGTAAATACCTTAAAAGCAGCAATAGGTTTGGAAAACAGATACCGCCACACTAACCCGCTGGAAAGTTTCAAACAAAATTTCAATTTGGCTAGCTATGTTCAAGTAAGAGAAAAGCAAATCCATTGATAAAATGTGAACATACCTATTACCTGAAGGCGGTACAGAGCAGACAAGCACAGCTCCAGCAAGATCATGGTACAGCACTTTCTTTTCTAGAATGAAGCCCAATGAGCATAGCAGATAAGTGAAGGTGGACTTTCTCAAACCAATAAAGCAGGGAAAATTACATTGATGAAAAATATTTGTTCTTGATAATAATGAAACAACTGTTTTTTTCAAATCTAATTAATGTCATTAAGTATAGGCTTTCGTCCACTTGCACATCACATTGTTATCATAAAGGAAATTAGGACTTTTTCATCTTGTGTTATCCTAAACATGCCTCATCCATCTTGAATATAAAAATAAATCAACTAGAAGATGAATATTACCTAAATTTTGTTTGTTCCTTATATTTGCAATGTAGTACTGAATGATTAACCCTCCAAATGAGTGCCCAAGCAACACTGGTGGCAACTTTAGCTTTTTCTGGATGAAGTCATGGACATCACCTGCATGTGTCTACTGTAGAATTTGAAATAAGAAAAGCTTTTTAATAGTGAGATATTGTAGACTATTACACAGAAGGAAAGCATCAAAATCTGCATAGGACTTAATCAATTCTAGTGGAGAGCTAAAATACCTGGAGAGAACCAGCAACAGGACTAGCTGGTGCATCACTTTCACCCTGCATTTGTGTAGGCAACATATACCTAATCAGTGCTATAATGGCAGTCGAAGTAATTCCAGGTATTTGTTCCTCATGCATCTCAATGCCCTTCTAGAATTAAGCATATGATAGGAAAAAGGTGCTTCTAGCTCATACACCAGGGATGCCACTAAGCAATAAGTGGCTGTATTACTATTCCTTAAAAGAAGAAGATTGAAACAATAAAAAGATTCCAAGCCAGACATCAAAGTATGAGACAGGAAACTTGTAGTTTTGAAAAGCACTTGCACAGTTTTGAAAATTGGTGATGTTTGAATGTAACATCTTTCTTTGATTACTTGCAAGTCGTAGGAAAATGCTTTACCTCCCAAAATGCTTAATTTTGTTTACTAATCAATCATGTAAATTTTATACTAATTTATCCCAAAAATGAAGAATGTATTTACATTTCTACTTTTTTCCATATCACACTTCTCTCAATAGTCGACCAAAGCACTATGAAAGATAAGAGAAACAGCAAGAAGAATAAAGCTCCACCAAAATCCAGCCTTTCTTCCATGTATAATTTATATTTTTAGATTATTATACACCAACTTACGGTATCAAATTTTCAAGAAAATGGCACACTCAATACTCAAATAATAAAAATAATCGAAAAACCTATAATTCAACAATCAAACATCAACAAACATAAACATTTGTAGGAGAGAGAGAGAAATGGCAGAGACCTGACCCAACAAGCTAATAGCATAGCTATCAAAGCCAAACCCTGAAAAGAAAGGCAACCAATGCTCAGCCCAGCACCAAGCTGCATGGTAACTTCCATGAACAAAAACCAAAGGTGGGTTCTTTCGACTCTCTCTTGGGTCTCTATTATTTTCTTTATCGGCTAGAACAAGACCCTTTTGCTCAATCACTTCCATTTTCAGACCAGACGGGAGTTGGTGAAAAAGTCGTGTCTGTCCCTGCTTCAATTCATAAGGGACCTGCATTTTGTAGGATTTGTTGAGGACAGCAAGGGGTTTTATGGTCATTCTGGGGGAGGAGATTGGTTGGAATGGAGAGAGATGAGCAAAGGCAGCCATTGCTATCCAGCTTGGGTAACCAACAAAAATTTCAGTTTTTCACTCATTCATTGACAAGCTTTTGTAATCTCATTTGACCTTCGTTTTTTTCCTCTCTTTTTAATCTTTGTTTACCACTGTAATTTTTGGCCTTTTACAGCTTCCTTCTAATTTTATATGACTTTTTTACCCAGAAATCCTTGGTTATTTACAGTTTTGTATGAGTAATAGATAGATTTAGTAACTCTCAATCTCTAGTGGCAGTTTAGTCATGCTTGTCTTTGCCATTTCGGCTTTTACTCGGCCAGCTTTCATAGACCAGAACTAAGAGTTAAAGACTTAATGATTGCAGATATACCAATCCTTTTTCTTTGTTTTTATCGGATATCTCTATTATTTTTCTTCTTAAATTTTTTTTTAATGTTAATCTAGCTTATCTATTAACTTTTAAATTAATAGTAGTAATTTTTTTTACGTGTTGATCATATATCTTTACTCTATTTTTCCTTCTTCATCTTATCTTTTTTTCTTCATAGAATTGTTAAAAAATGATTTTTTGAAAAATTAAAAAAATTAAAAAAATTAAAAAAAGTGAAAATAAAAATATTTTTTTTATCCAAATTATCATTCATGAGCTTAAATTTGTTTCTATAATAATAAGCAAATTTAAAATATAAAATAAAATATCTATAATTTTTTTTTAAATGTGTCTCATGATAATAAATAAAATTTGAGTATAAAATAAAATATTTATAGTATTCTTCTTTAAATATGAAGAGAGTTTTAGTTAAAATTTTAAAATTTTAAATTGTATTTATAATTTTGTAATATCTTAAACAAATCTATTATAATTTACATATTTTGATTTTATAGAATTTTTAATTTGACTCAAAAGTGGGAATATAATTTTTTTAGTGTTAAAAAAAATACTATAAATATTTCATTGTATATTTAAAATTTGTTTGATGTCATATAGATAAATTTAAATTTATAAAAAATATTTTGGATAAAAAAATATTTTTAGCTTCATCCTTTTTTAAAATTTTTTATATTTTTAGAAAGAATGACCAAATATATCTTCACCATTTTTCTTTTTTTCCCCCTAAAATTCATTAATTTATTTAAATTAAGTATAAAAATAAAATTAAAATGAAAAAATAAAATAGATGGATAAAAAACAAATTAAAGACAAAAAGATAAAAATCAAAAATAAAAAGATGAACTTAAAATTAAAAAAAATAAAAATAAAAATAGAGGGCACTATATATAAAGACAAAAGAAAAAATAGAAGAACATTTTCAATCATTAATCCTCTGAACAAAGAAACATTCACGGTTGATTTTTAGGACCATTGGCTACGAAAGAATCTTGCATCTAACATGACTTGTTGCCTTTTTGTGCAGAACATACAGTAATTCTATTGTAGAGAGAAGCGTTAGTGAATAGTTTTGTTACTGCTTATGTGCGATATCTGGAAGGAAGGCAGTTGCGTCGTGGTGTTTGCTCACCGGTCTTGTTACCAGGTTGTCGGGTTTTTCAGAAACCTGCAACTCTATCCACATAAACATTTTTGCCATTGCCAGCGTACATTATTGTTTGATGCTGAGTTATGTTCTGGAATTATTGATTGCAACAAGTTCCTGTCATCATTACACTGTTGAACAGGTGGCAGATTGTGTTCGAAAACAGTTTATGCTGTTCAAAACATTGCCTAGCTATGTTACTTATTTCGTAAATGATAGAAGGTCCCAAGTTGACCTCAAGGCAAGCTAGAAAGGAAGTTCATCTTCTGCTTTAACCTTTTCTTTTTTTTTTTTTTTTTTTTTTGGTAAGGCAAAAAAGAAGTGTACTTTGATCATATTTTTTCCAATATTTTTAGCCCCACTCTCTAAACATATATGACCTACAAGTCACTACTGGATATATGTATATCCCTTGCATGGACCTATCTACCATTGAAATTCTGACTCAGAAAATCAAATTTCCACTTGTAATTCTCATTTGCTTTCAATTTTCACTTGCTTAATTGTAAAGCAAAACAAAGTTACTTTCATACCCCTATTTTAATGGCCCAAAATCCAAGTTACTGATAATTATGCATTAAAGCTTTTCAATTTTTTCTATATTATTCCTCGCATTCCAACTTTGAATTGAAAAGTCCATCAATGGCATAATAATATAAAAATTATTTTATATTTATTGAAAAAACATGAGATTCTTATCACAATAAAAAAAGAATTGAAAAATGGTATTTTAATTAAAATTTCTGATAATCATCTTAATGTAATTACTTTTATCTTACGTGTAAGTGTTTAATTAGTTGAACTTCGTAATTCAGCAAAAATCAAGTGATAAATCCAAGACTAATGCACAATCTTTCTTATGTACTAATAGTTACAAATTGTTAAAGCTAATAATACACCATGCTGATATCTTATAACTTGGATTCCAAAACTCTTTTATATGTAAACAAAATTAGGCCTTCTAAGAAACTTTTTACTTGAAAGCTTTATGGCTGAGTTTGCAGAATATCTGCAGAGACTAAGGCCTTCTCAACCTTTGACAGAGATGATGGGCATGAACATGGAAATGCTCAAGTATCTTCCAGAGCTGAATCAAAGCATCATGGAGAATTTCAGCATCCCTGACTTCTCAGCAGAGACTTTCTTGGCCCACCAACAACCTGAACTTCCAGCAACATATAATCACAGCAACCTTTCAAGTGCTTTCCATCCTGACATCTTGAGTACAAAACCAGTTGTTCGTCCTGCCACCTTGAATCGAAATGTTTACCACGAAAGCAAGAAGCGAAAAGCAATGGAACAATCAACCAGCAGCTCCAAGAACTTTTCTCCTATAGCCTCTACAGACGATACAGAGCAAAAGAAGGTGTGTATCTGTCTGCTTCTTGAAGTGTTTACTACTTGTTCTATAATTTCAGTTTTGAACTTCTAGTCTTTGTGATAACAGTAGTACTTTTTCTTCACGTGTTTAGAACGCAGGAAGAGGTAGGAAAGGCAAAAACAAAGAGAAAGAAGGGGACAAAGCAGAGGAAGTTGTTCATGTAAGAGCCAAGAGAGGCCAAGCAACAGACAGTCACAGTATAGCCGAAAGGGTAAATTTGTATGTTTTTGACTGAATAGATTTTGCATTGTCAATAAAGCCTGATTATTAACCATTTGCTAGGCTAATTCTATCTTCTAACATGTAAGAACATGAATGTACTAATCGAAGTCGTGAAGTGAAGAATTTGACTGTAAAGTTACTATCTGTTGTGTCAGGTAAGAAGAGAGAAAATCAATAACAAGTTAAGATGCTTGCAAGACCTTGTCCCTGGATGCCACAAGGTAAGAACCCTTTACCCAAATTTAATTCTGAGCACAATTCAAGTATGTATTATTCTTGTGTAATTGTTAAAATCATGCACTTCAACTTATTTGGATATGAAGTTTTATTTAGTTGATTATACTCAGAAGATTTAGCTGACATGATTGCATTAATATACAGTCAATGGGGATGGCAGTTATGCTAGAGGAGATAATCAATTATGTACATTCATTGCAGAATCAAGTTGAGGTAACCCAACTATGACAAAATCTGGCACAAATTTTTTTAACAGTTTCATCTCACAATCCCATACACAAAACATGTTTGGATTAACCTTGGTTTTGTCAAAATTCAGTTTCTTTCCATGGAGCTTGCAGCTGCAAGTTGTTCTAATGACCTGAACAATTTGACAGAATCTTCCAAGAAGGCTCAGGTGCTACTCCATTCACTTTTTGAATATTGACTAGCAAGAGAAGACTTGCCTTCTTTTTCTCCCTCAATTATTAATGTTGAACTGCAGTTGATTAGATAATTCGGTCACTATGTGCTGGAAGTTCCATTTCACATTATTATTATGCAAAAAAATGGCTGATGCAGAACTATTAATTCTGTAGGGAACAAATTCAACTGAGGCACAGGAGACACAAAAATGGTTGAGAGAAAGATATGGAGAAATCACTTGCTTCCACTCTACTTGGTCCATTTGACTGCAGTTTTGGCAATTACTCTTTGTTGGCTATAAAGCACATGAATATGCTCCCTAGCTATCATCCTTTGCCCCAAATCTCTGTATTTATGTGGCAGACATGCTAATAATATTTGCATTTCTTCACAAAAAGGTCCAAAAAGAAAGTACAAAAAAACAAGAGATTGTATTGCTATTTTCTTATCCATTTTTAGGGCTTTTTTTTTTTTTTTTTTTTTGACTTTCTGTAGTGATTTGTGGTGTGTAACATCCTATGTATTGATGTTTCCCTGTCAGCATGAGCAGTTAAGCATTAATTTGACTCAATAGGTTCTCCTGGTTTTATGTATTGCTTGTATATTCATTATCCATTTTGTGACAATATTATACATGCACCCACTTTATGATTTGAAATTGGGCATTTGGGCCACTTGGTGAATCGGCTATACTCTTTTAACCAGACCCCTTCTTCATGTGGTTCATGGTTTTTTTGCTGTGCAAGAGACAGAGAACAGGAAGAGAAGAGAGTCTTTAGCCCCTGTCAACAGAACCTAATCGATGATCTTACGAGAACACGCAAATTAGCAATATATTCTCTAACTCCTAGCATATACCAGAAAAGTGTAGACAAATTTGATGTGTGTCCAATCTGAATTCTCAATCTCAATTGCAGTCACAATGGTCGAGTAACATGTGAGTTAATGTAATTGGTGTTTGTTTCCCTACGAATCAAATCAATTAGACTTCCCCTTGACTACCATCTGCATAAATCATTCTTGTCCATGAATTACTTGCAGCTGATCTAAAACTACTATAATGATCAAAACCCTAGAGAAAAAACAATTCCCAGTTAGAGGCTAGCTACAGGGATGATTCAAAGATAAGTTCAAAGGAATAGAGTTTACGAGAAATGGTTCATCTCATATGATCTCTCTGGTGTTTGCTTTTCTAGGTGGTAGGTTTCTATCATGCCCTTGCCCCCCATTATACTGATAAACCAAGCTACACAGTTGGGTTATCTAAACAACAGCGCAAAAGCTAATCAATGAGAAGTGCATCACCATATAATCAATTGCTTGATCATCAAGGCTCAATAACATTGAAATCATAGCAACATCAAGATTATTAGTACAATCTTGGAAGGATAACAACACAATCCTTTGGATAAGTACTTGACCTTAAGCACTTTTTTCTTGCATTACGATGAGTTTCTATCGGATTAAAACTGCGGTTTGCATTGAAGGGACAAGCAGAATTCAAATAGAATCATACAATAGACTTTGTGACGCACAACAATTAATAACGATAAATGGACACAAACAATGCAAGCATTATCAGAAATACAGGTCCTACAAACATATGGATGAATAATCTCATAGATGTTGCCAATTCATAGACTCGAATGATTGTAATGAATAAATTGTAGAATAATTTAATGGCACTAAAGAAAAGGGAAAAAAATTTACAGATGCATTGCATCCAAAGATATAAGATAGAAGACAGCTTGAATGGGCCATATCATCCTCACAAGAAGATAGAGCAATATGGGTTCATAGATTTCCTTAAATGAAAAAGACCTTAAGAATCTTAAAAGCTTCTATTATCTGCAATACTCTTGTTTTCCTTGACTCCTTTTTGAAACAAAATTTAATCACTTGGCTTTTTGTTGGTGCATGCACGATGAAACAGACAATTGACAGTGTTGACAACATGTCTATTGAGCCTAATGAATAATGATCAACATACACAGACTAGCAATATTGATAATCATCAACTTCCCATACCTAACTTAGAGCAAACAGAAAAGTTATATATATATATACGGGTATTCATTCGATTATTGGGTTCGTTTCAAAATATTTTGAACGGTTTTTGATTAATTGAATTTTCAAAAAAAAAAAAAAAAACCGAAACTGAATCAAAATGTTACTCGGTTTTTCAGTTCAATTTTGAAATATTTTAATTTCGGTGTTCCATAATTCGATTTTTACACGTTTTATTTTATTTTATTTTTTCTACAAATGACTGATTCTATTAAAGTTTTTGAAATATCCGTTTAGAGTGGATTTTTTTCGACTCGTGGACTACTAGCTCGAAAACCCAAAAAATAATAATAATAACAACAACAAATGTATTAGTAGATAAACAAATAATGAATTGTTTATTCAAGAAGGCTTGAATTGGAGACGATAGAAAATCTATCAACGTTTTTGTTATTTTGTGTATATCCAAACTTATAGTAGAGAAAAAGAAAGTATGTACGAAACTGTGGAAAGAAGTACTTCTAAGGAAAAAGGGTTTTTCAATTTGAGAATATTGTGAGCCATATGACTCTATATATATATATATATATAATTTTAATTAATTGATTTTTTTTTAAATAACCAAATCTGAATCCGAAAATTGAAATTATTTTGATTCAATTTTTTTATTTTTTTTAATCATACTGAAATTAATATTTTTATACGATTTGATTCGATTATTTAATTTTCATTCAACGATAAATACTCCAGTTGCCTGATATAATTCTCCTTGAATTATTGAATTAACACTCAAAACAATTTTCTTTTCACGACATAGACTGTTGGTCTCTGGGGACAGCACCTTTGTCAACAATCAATTCATCTTAAAATCTGCTATTCTTAGTCAAGTCTAAGAGTACAAAAAAAGAAAAAGACTTCTTTCTCCTTCTGTACATATATATCCCTCAAGTTTTCTGATTTGAAACTCCACTGTGCCTCTTGTGAAAGTAATTTTCAGAATTGACATGAATTATATATTTAAATAATAATCATTGTATAATAATTTCGAAACATCGTTATTATTATTTAGAGTTATATAAATATTATAATTTTTATTTTATTATCACAATAATTTATAATCTGTAATTATAACTACTATTATTTTTTTCAATCATCTTTGTGATTTGATTTAAAATTCTGATAAGAACAATTATATATAGTAACCCTTTTTTGCTACTATTGGATTGACCTATGAATTTGCTACTACTGTTTGCAAAATCGGAAGCGGAGTGGTTGCACATTTGTTAGTGTAAGGCTAGCTAGTGATGAATGAAATAGTAATAATAATAATGTGAGTACTAGCTTCTTTTTTTTTTTTTTTTTTTTTGTTTGACCTGCATAATAAAAGTACGGTCTACCAAAATCAAAATATAGGGGTCAGATTTTCTTGGTGCAAAGAGGGATGGATATGTACGTGCATTATTACAGTAAGGAGTTAGATCAGAGTGGTATTGAAGTGACTCCCAAGTGATGTTTGTGCTAGCGAGTGTGAATACACATTTATACAAGTATCCATTTTCGATTGTTTGGATTTGTTTGTTGTGTCTGTTTGTCTGTATGTCTGTTTGTCTGATCTAAGTGTTCCTACATTGAGGAAATGCATCACGTAGTCATGTGCCCTAAAGATTTAAGGCTTGTGCATGAAATGCCTCTAGTTTCTATAGTACTACAGGGTGCATGAATTTGATGGTTTTAAATGTTATCTTTTAACTGGATATATGGAGTACTAGTAGTAAGCTTGCTGTCCTTTTGCAAGATACTTACATGCGCTGGTCATCACTAGAAGTTTGAATTTGTTCGTTACTTACTAGTGCAGGTTAATTACTCTGACGATTGATAACGTTAATCCATGTGCTTAGCTTTTGCATATTTTGCAATTTGGATCCAAATGGGTTATCTACGTACCCAGCATGATGATTTATTTGCCAAAACAAGAAAAAGAGTTATAAATATGTATCTGTTATTAAAAAAAATGAAAACAATAATAGAATTGAAAAGAAATATGATAATAAAATGAATTCATTATAAATCTTTACAAAATATTTGTATATAAACTAATGAACAATCAAATCTATTTATAGGCTTCGAGATTAGAAAGAGAATTAAAAGAGACTATAAACTATTAAAAGTACATAAATTATTGAATTAATTACATTATTATTTCAATTTCTTATATTGAATGACAAGTTAAATTATATTAATAATTATGAGTGATGGAAATATAACAAACATATGAACATTCATATAGACATTCGTTATTTTATAACAAGATCAAGATATTCTTGTCATTTTATGATATTTTAATATGCTCATATACACACGTGTATGCTTGTCCAAGGGTTATTTATCTTGTAGTTTTCAAGAAAAGTAAAAATAAAAAAGCCTAAGGCTATAGCTTCACTTTAAATTAAAAAAAAAAACATAATAGTACTAAACATGAGAATTGAATAAAATAAAATAAAGATCTAAAATGAACACTAATCTCTAACTTAAATAAATTTGAAAAATCCTAAAGTCATAGAAAAGTGCATACATAATGGTTGTAGTTACAATAAATAAGGCAAAAATCAAGTGTTAGCAATAATAAGTATCTCATCCTCCTTCAACGGCTTTCAAGTTCGAGCTTTTTCCTAAAACAAAAATACATTGCTATATTATTATAAGTTATAATTCATCAAATATCATTTTTGACAATGCAATTCGTAAAGTAAAATGATTATTTATTTAGAAAAATATTAAAGTGGAAGAGGTGAAAAAAAAAAAAATCAAGTATAGTTGAGATATTTAAGTTTATTCAAACAGGGATCCGAGACACATAAGACCATGGGCCATGGCTCGAGGCCGCTGAAGTCCATTGAAACCTTACTCTTTTTTCAAAATGATAAATTGGGCTTCAACACAACTCGACCTAAACAAAATTCCGAAGCCCAAAAATGTTCTTTTAGCAGGTTGAGCCCAAAACCAGCAACTTCAAGAGGAAGAAAACAGAGAGGGAAGAGAAAAGACAGATTCAACTTGGATTTATTTATTTTTGTGCAAAAAAACTGAAAGCACAAGAAAAGAAAAACACTGATCAGTACTAATTTTTTCTGTTTGATTAATTTTGAATTGGATTACATTATAAGATAATAATCATTAATTTGATTAAAAATGATGACTCCGAGACAAATGAGTGAAGATCGAGGAGGAGCTGGTGGAGGATCTTCTCCTCCTTTCAGGTATGCAAAATCTCTAAACCCTAACGCTAATAATGCATCTGTTTTCTTCTTATTTGGAATAAATAAAGTATCTATTTATTTATTTGGATTTTTGAGGTTGTTATGAAGGTGGGTTTATTCGGAAATTTTGTTAAGTCAGTTCTGTTTGGGTTTTTTAATGTAATTTTGAGGATAAAAGCAATGTGATGTTTGTAATAAGTGCATGGTTTTGCTCTAATATAGTTTGATAAGTGCTTGAGATTTGAATTATGGGATGAAAATTGATGATTTTGGTACACATTTGGTGCATTTCTGGTGGGGTTTAGATGGCTTCGGTTTCGTGTGAGTTGATGCAAGTATTATCTTGCAAACGGGTTATTCTAAGTTTAACTTGGAAGCCTGTTTGATTACCCATTGAGTCTTCACACTGTTTTATTTGTACTTTATGCTTTCTTTTTGAATGTGGCTGTGCTTGATATAGTGGAAGTGATTCATATAGATGATTTTATTTTTTGTGGTTTGGTGTAGGCACACTCCGTTGCAGATAATCCATGTTATTGGTAACTTCTTGAGAATATGGTCAGTTTATTCAATGTACCGCTATTTGTCTGAGACTGGAGCTTCAGTGATACTTTTTATATTCAGTTGTTTGGTTCCATCGTCAATCCTGTTTTTAGCTTTGCAAAAGCCTTGGAAGGGAAGAGCACTCTCTAATCAGCAGGTGAATGACTAGAAGTGTCTCCTTTTCATTTGGATATTGATTTGAGAGTATGCTAGCTGATTCTTAAATGATGTTAATTGTTGTTCAGGTAGTGCCGTCGGTTATAAATGGTGCAATAACAGCTTTATACTTCATCTTGTGGGGAAAGGGACTCAAGTCATGTGGACCACTAAGGTAGGCTCGTCCTGCTTGAAGAATGCAAAATTAGTATTCAACTGTTTCTAGAGACTTGTTCAATTGTAAATGCTCTTTCCCTTTAAGTTGTGGGGGTCTAGGAGATTCATGTTTGGCAATTTGAGAAATAACCAACTTTTACTGATGATTATAGGTGTATATGTGTAGATTGTCATGAATATAACACTAGATACAAGAGGCTTCTGAAAAACTTAGCTTAAATACCAATTCATTTTAAATCATGCTCCAAGACTGATTTATGGCCCCCTGGGGATATCTACTGGCTTGTCAAAGTAGTATAGGGTCTTATTACGGGATTTTCTCTAATGGATATGCTGTGAATTTGTCCGGTCTTCCAAATTTTCTTTAGTTTGTGTAACCAGGGGTATTTTGCTTATTTCTAGGACAAAAATTACTGGAAATTCATATATAAATTGATGCAATCTCGTTTGGTTGGACTTGAGGATAATTTTACAGAAATTTTAGAAGCTCTCTAGCTCTAGCTCAGTCTGCGATTGGCGAGGCAATTCTAATCCTAGATCTGCGTTTGATTTGACCTTGGCTATGATGCCTAAAGAATTCGCACCTAGAATCTCTTATTAGTATCAATTTGAAGGGACTTTACCTTATTCCTTTGTTTCCTTTGTTTGCTGTTTTTTTTTTTTTTTTTTTTTGGGTGTAGTTTTTAACTTATTTGTAGTTATAGACTTATAGTCAATTAATTCTTTGTTATGACTCAAGAGCTATCTTGGCGGAGTATTCTGGTGCTGTTCTTGGAGTATTATCTGCAGCATTATATGGACGGAGGGGCCATGTATGGAAAAAGGTAATAGTCCTTGTACTTTTAAGCACATAAGTTTGAGAATTTTATAATTGACATGTTTCTCACTGTGTGAGGCGAGATCATATCCTATTGGTTGCTTCACAAAAGAGGGCATCAACTTGTATGTGATGCTAATAACATAGATGCTACTGTGGTTCTTTTATATTTATCTATGCTTGGAATGGAGCCCATCGAACTTCTACAGTGAGAGATTCATCATGTTGGATTCTAAATGTTTTTTATATATACTTATCAAGGGTGATCTTAATGGCATCAGAGAGATTAGATAACTGAGTTGTGTTTACTAGGAGGATGCCTTGTCCTCCTTATTGTATTCCATCTCATTTCCTTTTTCAGCAGCGTCTTCATTTAACATGTGTTTGTGAATATTATAACAATCTGATGACACATATACACTATGTCATTCAATTGCAATCAGTCCAAGATATGTAGAAGTTAATGATTACTTTCTCTTATTCAGTGGGTGTTTCCTCATCTTCTTCCAGGTTGGTGGGCTCATTGCGATGTTGGCATCTTTCTACTTCTTATCTCAAGGGTGGGCCATGGCCACATATTCGCCATTTTATATCCTTATGTAGATTCAACTTTTTTCTCATTGAATTTGTAATAATAGGTTTTAGGTTTTCCTGTTTACTGGCATCAGTTTCCTTGTATGGGTTTTTTTTTTCCTCCTTTCTCTTTCCATTTTTCCCTTCTATTCTTATTGTGAATTCTTGGAGAATTCTTGAAGCTTGTTTTAACTTAATGTGAAATACCATTCAAAGATAGTCCAGCTACTGAGGATCAGACAGAGGAGGTTTTGGGTATGGGAGCAATGGCAGTTCCAATTCTTGCTGGAATCTTATCAGCTTTAAGAAGGGTTATTGCACGGCGTGTTTCACTCAAGGTGTTGATATTCATCCATTTACATAATTGTTCGGTACCCTGTTGGAAAATAATCGCAGCTAGCGTTGTTCTCTTGTTTAGCCATGTGCCTTTTTTCATTGGGCATTATGTGAAACTCTAGTATTAATGTTGGCCATTACTTGTTGTCAGAATCAACTTAAAAGGAGGCTTAATGCCATAACCATTACTTCTGCAACATGTTTTCTGTTTCCGGTGGCCATGTGGGACTTTATTATCGTAAGTTTCAGTCCCATGTCTAATTTTACTAGATCAAGCTTTGGAAATTATTATTTTTATTTAAATCCCCATGGAGCTCTGGCCTGATTGAAAATTTTCTGCCTTTTTTTGGAGTACTTCAGGGATCAACTTCTGGCAGCAGTGTAGAACTGCTATTTTCAACCTGGGCATTTTTCAGCACTATTCTTTTTGGAGTTATCCTGATATTCTATGTTGACAGTATTGCAGAGGAGAGGTACCTTTTTTCTGGATCACTGCTCAAGTGATGCAAAGCCTTTCAGTTTACTTATGTTTTGACTAGCTTTTGATGAATTAGTTATTTGTGGAAATAAATTTAATGCATGTAATGGCTGACTACTTTCAGCTTTGGAATAATTATAAAGTTCCTTTGATCGGGTACATTAACTAAATACACTTTTAGTAATTTTGCTATTAGATTTTAAGCTGGTTCTCATTTTCTTGAGGTCCATGAAGATGAACCAGCCACTTCAGTTATTTCACAGTTGCTTATACTAGTCTAGAGGCCTAAATGCATCAATCAAGAGGACTATTTATGACACTGCCACAATACACGATGGCTTCATTTTGTTCCCATGTCACATAAATTTTGCTATCATGCTTAGGCTTGTTTGTTGACTGGGTGCTATACACTCGGTGATTTCTTTTATGGCATCTGTTGTTTGTGTTTAATTCAAGAATTATGTGAATGGTTTTCATTTTCATAATGGAACATTTGTATAGATGGTGGTTGCTTGCAAGTAAATAGAAGCTACAAGTGTAACTATATTTAGAACACTCTAGTGATCAAAAGAAATTTGTTAGGTTGATAAATGATGGAAACGACTTTATTTGTTTGCAGACTGCACATGGTTTTCTCTTCACCAAGGCACCTAATGGTAGCTGGAGGATGCATCATCATCATGGAGATTGTCTACAAAATGGATTTTTCTCTTCCAGGATTCATAATATGCTCCTTGATTTTGGGCTTTGGTATGTTAAAAAGTCTTTCATTGTGTTGCTCCATGCAATATTTTCTAGAAATTCCTAGCAATTCATAAATAAATAAATAAGTTATCCAGTCAGAAATAGAGACACAAACCTTTTGTTTTTATGGTCAGGCTGGTGGATAAGTTGGCTAGAATGTGTAGAAGGTTTTGATAGGTTATAGATGTCTTGTATTGTATTCGAGAAGCTTATGGTTTCCCTTAAAAAACAGAGTAGAAGAAAAGGATAATCATATCACATAAATTTTTATTATCATCGACCAAACCAGTAAAACATAAATACAGTGCAAGAAGAACAAACACTAGCACATTGGCATGGGCATTGGTAGAAATAAACACCCCTCATTGTTTCCTTGTTTTTGTGACGTGCTGTAGGTATTTATGAGGCAACTGCCTTGGAGCATGGTAAAAAGGGTTCTTTTCAGCAATCTGATCCATTGAGTGGGGTGTTGGAAGATCAAATTCAAATGTCTCCGCTTCCTACTTGAAGCATGCTGTCTTTCTTTTGCGAGTTTTTCACGTGTACACAACATCTAGAGAGCAGGTCTTTCCAGCCAGGAAATTGTTACCATTCTTATATATTTATCTCCTTTTCTGAGGCAAGAGAAACATTTCATGGAACACTTGGGAAGAATGAGTGGAATCATAACTGTCTCGGAATCTCACATACTTTTGTTTGTTTTCTAACCAGTGGAATCAACAGCTAGAGCAGGTGTTTACTTTCTTTTGTATTGAATTGAAGTGTATATAAATCATGTAAATGCATTCCAAAAACTGACATTTGCTTCTAATGTTGAACAGTTCTCTCTCCCTGATCGACTTCAAAGTGCTTCCTTTCTCGTGATTTGTTTGACAAAACGATAGCATGTGTGAGAGAATGATTGAAAAGAGAACATCAAATTCTCCTCTAGGTTAGAGGGTGATCACATGTGTCTTGATCTCATCAATTTGTATTTATAAACGGAATAAAGATTGGTAACGTACTTTCTGATATCAAACATTAAATTCAAAATTTTCTTGCAAAAATTGGTAAAGCTCTTCTGCAATTATAGTGGGATACTCTTCATGTGGCAAAAGAGCACCAGGAACCTCAACAAATTTACTGACCCCTTTGGCTTCTCTGAGTGCTTGCATTACTGCTTTTGACCTCTTCGGAGAACTTTTGGATGACACAACAAGAACTGGTACTTTCCCATCCAAATCTGCAAAAAGCTCAAGGAATTCCTCCTGGGATTTAACTGGGTCAAGGAGACCTGTCAAGAAAGAAGCAGGGGCGCAACGAGCTCCCTTTTGTTTTGTCAGTGCAATTCTACTGTCAACAACATCAGGAGTCACATTGTCAGGATTTGCGTAGACATGGGATTTGTACTGGGACGCAATTGCCTTCTCGTTGCTTACGAGCATGTTATACATCATCCAACCCACACCTGGGGTCCTTAAGGTGTCCCTTAGCAGCCCATACCTGGTAAGTCACTCATGAGCAATGACCTATAGAGATCAGTTTTATCCTCCTAGGAGCTAGAACCAACATAGAATACAAAGAAGCAACTGCCAGCATTTCCTGATTGAAAGCTAGAAGGATCAGTAAAATGGCACTGAAATTTATCATACCTCATTTCCATGCTGGAATCTCGACCAAACACAATAGGAAGAGGACCAGCCCAGGTGGGTGCAACAGCAGCAATGGCTGCTAGCTTCACCAAACCTTTCTTTGCAGCAGAGAGAGTTATTGTGGCAGCATGCCCTCCTCCAAAGACTACTAAATCATTTTCTGAATCAATTGCAGAAACCCATTAAGAATGAGTAAAGCACCATAGTAATAACAATTATCAAAGAAAATCAAAACTCACCCAAGTGCTTCACTGGACCATCTGAAGCATTGATGAAGTCAGTCAGAAATTTCTCCATGACATCAACATTGTAGTCTAGTTTCGGCCTATCAGAATAACCCAAACCAGGCCAATCAACAATTGTAGCCCTCCAATTGATTTCACTGACTCGTTGAACAATGTTTCCAGCTACTGATCTCCATTCTTCAACAGTGCTAACATCAGAAATACTTGGCAGCATCAAAATATTTTTGGTTGGCTCACGGCTTTCCTTCCCATGTTCTTCATAATAGATGGTTAAAAGCTTGTCCTGAAATTTCCATTGCCAGTTATTTTCCTGAAAAGAGAGATATAAAATTGTAAGAAAGCATAGTTGAAAATTCTGAATTTTTAATGAAGATAATGATAAACCCGGATAAGGATTGCTCTTACCTTAAAAGGGCAGGGATTTTTATTCGCTAAAGAGATTGTGGATTGATCAACAGAAGTTAAAGAAGCTCTGATTGAAAAGGGTTTGAAAAAGTGAGTTGTTTGATATTTTGTGTAAGTTTTGGGAGAAAGAGTAAAAGATGGTGAAGTAGAGATGAACAATGAGGCCATGGCTATGGTTTTGAGTAACTGATGGGAATGAAGAAAGGGTAGATTTTTCAAAAGAGTTCAAGAAAGGTTACTGAAAGGAACTTGCAAGTTGCTGGTTACAATATACTCCATAAATAAATACTTAAAAAAAAAAAGAGTAAAATAAATAATTAATTTTGAGTGGTCATAAAGAATTTGGACCTAGAAATAGAATCTCTTGTCATTAGCAGTTTGAAGGGATATTTATTGGCTTTCTTTCTTTGTTTTCTCAGTTACGTACACTAGTTTAATTCAATACTAAGTTCTGAGTTCTGACCTTAGTTCTATCTTGGGCTGGTTGATCGAGGCCAGAGAAAAAAAAAAATCACATCCTCTTGTGAGTTTTAAGCACATTTTCAAGGTTACTTTTTTTTAGCTCAAAGAAGTTTATAATGAATTCATGCGTGAAATAAATCATTAAACAAAAAGTTCAAGAATTCATGAAGATAAAGACTTTGTTCATTAAGAGTTTAACATTTCATCATAAACTAAGACTCTTAAAGTACTCAAGGCCAAGAAAAGCCCACTACAAATTATTCAAACACAAAACAAAAACCACTAAGAACACTTAAAAAAGACAATGAGAGTCTCATTTCTTGAAATTTAAAATAGAACTCGAGCACAACTTGGATTTCACCAACAAAACCACTAGAACCACCCTTGTCACCATTCTTAGCACCACTCGTCACCATTCTTGCCTACGGCTTCGAACAAGAACGGTGATAATAGTGATACTAGTGGTTTTGTCTGGTTAGAAGTGAAAGATGTGTCAAAGCTAGTTGAGTTCGTTTTAAATTTCAAAAAATAGGCCTTTCATTGATATTTTTAAGCACTCCCGGTGGTTTTTATTTTTTATTTGAATAATTTGTGATAGGCTTTTTTTTTTTTTTTTTTGTCATAAGTACTCTAATAGTCTTAGTTTCTCTATGTGTTGTATTGCTTGAACTTTTAAGGAACACATTGTTTATCTACTTTAAGATCAAGATGAAGAAAGAGAGAGTTTTCGGGGAAAACATGATTTCCTATCCCTCTATCCTTTTATAGATTGAAGAAGTGAATAAATAAATCAAAGTGACAACGGCCATGATCGAAATAGGAAAGGGGTGCCTGGGAAGAAAAAAAACAAAGAAGGAAAGAGAGAGGGAATAGGCATGGTGGATAGAAGAGAAAGAGAGGGAAAGGGAATGGAGAGTGATAGGGAAAATTGTTCAAGTAGGTCATAAGAGAAGAAGAGAAGGGAAAGAGTGATGAGGGAATAGTGGGAAAGAGAAGGGAAAAAAAAACTCCTCTTCTCGAGATTTTCATGGGTTGAATTTACTCATCTTATTAATGGATTTTTGGTTGTCCATTTATATGCCCAAAATTGTATCTTGAAAAAGCATCAATCATATGACTTGAGGACAAATTCCTAGTTAAAAGCTTATGCGGGGAGAAGACATCATCTCAAATGTATGAAGGGCGAACTATAAGTGCGAGTTTGGTTTGAATCTCTATCTATTAATACCGGTGATAAAAGAAGATATTATGTTGTTCAAAATAAAAACAATGCCCAAATCTCATACAATGGATACTAATAGAAAGAAAAACAAGGGCTAAATATATATTAGCTAGGTATTACTATTAAGCGAGTACAACCTAAATTCCTAAAACTAAGAACAATGGAATGAATTGAATGGTTCTATTGTAATTTCAAATGAATATCAACATTTATTCAATCAAATACAAGAACAATGGAATTTTGTAAAACAATCAATGATAAGAATGCTAAGAATTACAAGAATGCAGAGAGAAAAACGAGAGGATAGTTCGGATAGGTAAAAACGAAATACAAAAAGAAATTCCTTAAAAATCCAAGTCTACTCCTCACGTTTTCCTTGAGTTGATTTTAATAGTATCTTTTTTTCCTTTCTAATAGATTGCCACGTAGTATATTTTTACTCTCCAACTAACTCGACTTCCACGTAAGCTAACCAACTTAACTAATTTAGGGTCCCATTTTCACTTGTGTAATTGACTTGCATTTGTTTCGTTTTAAACCCGAATTTCCCGAGCATCTTCAATCATTCCCAGCAATCTTCAAACATTCCTAAAATTACCTCTTGAACTAGACTATGCATAATGATACTTCTTCTCTTAAAGGACTTTGATATCAAGGTCAAAATTAAGAAAACGCCTAGCCAATTCAAAAGCATACTCCCGAGTGGCCTCATCTCGTTGTACCATTAGACCATTGGATCAACACCTTAGTGGTTGCTCGATTACCCCATTTGACCATCTTCCTATTTAGAATAACAACTGGATGAACATCTTCATTCAATGTCGAGGTAACTATGGTTGCACTAAAACTTTCTCATAAGTAGGTTTGAGTCTGTAAAACATGGAATGTAGGATGGATTAAAGATCATGGGGGAAGTTGCAAGGTATAAGCTACCTTCCGAATCTTATCCATAATCCGAAAGGGTCCATAAAACTTTAGAGCTAACTTTTGACTTTTTCTAGGAATCATGGATTGTTGCCTATAAGCCCGAAGTATAAGATAAACCCACTCCCTAATTTGAAACACTTTTTTAGACCTCTTTTTGTCAGCTTGCACCTTCTACGATTTTGAGCCTTGATCGGATGCTTCTTTAGTAATGCTACCACATCTTCCTTATCTTATAAAAACTAATTCACTTGTTGGTTCCTTACAATCATTAGGAAGATAAGGTGAATTAGAGGTACATAGTCATACAAGGCTTCAAAAGATGATTGTTGAATGGAAGAATGGTATGTAGTATTGCACCAAAATTCTACCATACATAACCATTTAACCCAAGCCTTTGGAATAGAAGAACACATACACCTCGAATAAGTTTATGAACATCTATTAATTACTTTTGTTTGGCTATCTCGTTTGAGGATGGTAGGCTATAGAAAAATGTTAAGACACCCCTTAATATGCAAACGGTTTCTTCCAAAATCCGTTAAGGAAAATAGAGTCTCTATCCGACACAATGGTATTTGGTAACCCGTATAACTTAACATGTTCCATGAATGCTTGAGTTATCGACGATGCTTGTAAAAGGGTGAGATAAAGCCATGAAATGGGCATATTTAGTCGGTTTGTCTACCATCATAATCACTATTGATTTACTATGAGAATAAAGTAAACCCTCTATAAAATCCATAGATATGTTAGTGAAAATGGCGATAAATGTGATAATGGATTCGGTAACCCTGGATTGGCCATATTTTCATATTTGCACTCCGACAAGTTTTACGTTGTCGCATGTGCTCTCTTACGTCTCTTCTCAATCCTTTCTAGTAAAGTAGTGAACTATCCTATTGATAGTACCTTTAATTCCGAGTGGCCACCTAAATATGAATCATGACACATGGAAATGAGTTCCCTATGTAAGTTAGTATTCTTCCTTGCGACCAACTTTTTCTTCCTTCTCAATTGTTGGTTCTGCTATTCAAACTTGGATGGAATTCCTTCTAGAGTGTGCAACTATGATGTAAATGCATGTAACATAAGATCTTCTTCCCATGGACTCTTAATCCTATCAATCAAGTTTATGGATATTGAAGACACTATAAGAATAGATAATTGTACCCTGGATAATGCATACGTTACATAATTTTTCTTGCCACTTATTGTATACATTATTGTAGTTGTACCCTATCAACTTAACTAACCATGTGAAGTGGCTCTCGGTATGAACTGTCCGCTCCAATAGATGCTTTAAACTCGATGATCGGTCTTGATTGTGAAGTGTTTATACATCAAGGATTGGTGTCATTTCTTGATAGCAAAGAGAATAGCAATTAATTCCTTCTCATACATCGATAAAACCTAGTGTTTGAGAGATAAAAGTTATTGATGAAAGGTATGAGATGACCTTTACGCATCGGCATTGCCTTGATTCCATTTTCGAAGCATTAGTTTCTATTGTGAACTCGTCATTCCAATTTGGTAGAGCCAACACTAGTGTAGAAGTTATGGCATTTTTTAATTCCTCCAATGCTTGCCTTAGCTGCTCGGATTCCACCCAAATGTATCATTCTTAAGTAAGTACGTCGGTGGCTTTGCAATTCTTTCATAGCCTTTAACAAACCTCCGAGTAATACCCTACGAGGCCTAAAACTCCTCTCAATTATTTGAGATTTTTAGGTTTAGGCCATTGTTGAACAACTTCAATTTTGATAGGATCGGTTTGCATTCCCTCTTTAGAAATGTAATGGCCTAAATATTCAACATTTGGAGTGCCAAAGGTATATTTAGACTTTTTAAAAAATAAGGAATTTTCTTTTAGAATGTTTAATGCAAGTTTTAAATGTTATTCATGTTCATGAATGGATTTACTATAAACTAATATATCATCAAAGAAGACTAAAATGAATTTTCCGAGATAGGATTTGAAAATATCATTCATGAGGACTTAAAATATGTTAGGAGCATTGGTTAATTCAAATGGCATAACCAAATACTCATAGTGCCCACCATGGGTACAAAAAGCTATTTTTGGAACATTAGTGATATTCATCCCGATCCGGTGGTAACAACTCTAATATCAAGCTTTGAAAACATAACATAGCCATGTAATTCATCTAAAAGTTCTTCGATTATGGGAATGGAAAAGCCATCCTTTATAGTCGGATTATTTAATTTCTTGTAATCCACACATAGTCTCTAGGAATTGTCTTTTTTCTTAACTAGAACCACGGAAGAAGAAAAAAGGGCTTACAATGGCCCTAATTATTCCACCTTCCAATATTTCCTGAACTTGTTTCTCTATTTCATCCTTTTGAACAACATGATACCTATAAGGTTTAATGTTCATCTGGTTCGACTCCTTCCTTTAATACAATTTTATGATCATGCAATTTATGGGGTGGTAAACCTTTAGGCTCATTAAATACTTCTTTAAATGATTCTAGCAATGTCACTAGTGTCCTTAAAGTTTCATTATTCGATTCTGCCATAAATACCTCATTTTCCC